CTAATGGAAATTAAATTTATTTTTAAAATTTTATTCAAGTAATTTATCTAAAAATATCTCTAATCAATATAGAAACTTTGTGAAGCCTTTTATTATTTATTTATTTAATTAATTATAATAGTCTTTGAAAATTGATAATGCTCTAATCTACTAAAAAGATATTCTAAGAATTACTACATAAATTAGAATAAATAAAAATTGATGTATGAAATTTAATTAAAATTTTATTTTATAAAAAATATTTTATCTAATTTAGTGTATTTTTTATTTTAAAATTTAAAATTAATTTGGAATTCCAAATATTTACATAACTTACTTAATAAGGGTATTGCTAATGCCACTACAAACTAATACCCACTTAACATATTTTTTTAGTTTCTTTTATCTCAATTAAACTTTTTGTTAATATTATATATATAATTATATTAAAAAAATTATTTTAGGAAGTTATCAAAGCCACATCCTCCAAACCATGTGATGATTAATTATGGAAAATAAGAAACAGGGGATGGAAATTGGGAAGAAGGGATAGAGATTGGAGACAGGGGATGGGGACATGGAACAAGGGAGAGAGATGGGTATGGTAATGTGGGACATAGAATTAGAGTACTTAATATAAAAACAATATAGTTACAGAAAGATATAGCTTAATAATTTAAATTACAATAACTGACTTCAATAACCAACAAGACTCCAAAATGACAAATGTTTACATGAATATATTAGAATGTATGTAATTTTCCTAATTAATAGAATTTTTTTTAATATATAAATTTATTGGAAACTATATTATGATGTAGTCAAAAATATTATATTTGAACATGCTATAGAGGTTAAATTGAAACTTAAATCAATATCTTAATATATTTTAGACTAAAATCTCTGAATCTAATGTGTTTGAATGATTCCACTGCTTCAAATTAATAATTTTTACCATCCCAATATTTCCAATGTGTAATAATACAGTATATTTAATTAATTAATTAAATAAAATTATTTGATACATCCATATCCAACTTAAGGAGCAAATCCACGAACAAACAGCACGGTTGTAGGACCAAAACACGAAACTGCAGTAAGCAAAAGGCGCCACGTCCTCCAAGGTGCATCAAATTCACGAACAAGCCCAAAATTCCACATCAACTTAGAAGTCCACGTCGACAAAATTACTTCCACGTGGATCGACACCGTCGCGTGGACAGAACTGCGACACCGGGTGCTGGAAATTGAAGCAGCGACGCAGGCTGCGAACGCGAATGCGACTGGTCTGCGGATGATGAAGAAGAAGAAGAAGAGGCACACACAATCCTCACGACGATGACGACGAGGGATCGATTCATGGGCACCAGGAATGAATGCCACGAGAGCGAGCTAGCAAGCGGGGGAATGGCCTAAAAGAATGGAATGGGATTGGATGGCACAGGATCGCCGATCCCACCACTTCTCCCATTCCCACGTCTACGGTCTCGTCGCACTTGGATCATGTCGCTCGGATCTGTGGACACTGCGCATACAGCGTCCATGCTCACGTCGTCGGCGAGATATTTCGCGAATTGCATCGCAGGATTGCGTTTCCAGCTTTCCGGGCTACGTTGTTGGAGATGCGGACGTTTCGATTGTTGGGAGCCGGCTCATCCCAAGGCTTGAGCCTTGTGATTGCCTGGAAGCTCGTGGAGGCTTGAATCTGCTTGGAATTGGATTCATGGGTTTGTGAGGGTGAGTGTTGTGTTGTTTTTGGGGGTGGTGCAGCTGGGGCGTGCTCCCTTGGAAGAATTGTTGTGCAGGGATGAGGACCTTTGCGTGTAGCCCCGTGGCTCTGCAGCAAGGTAGTTGTGTCTCCAATCAGCCACAATGGATCTCGTCTCTTCAGCTCAGGAACTTAAAACCCAGCAGCATTGGCCGATTCCGTGGTTCTCCGTCGCAGAGGATTTGTTCCTCATGTGGGCCTCATTTATGCCGTAAGAGTGTCAGCCTAACTCAAGTCGGATGCAAAATTGACGGAAGCGATTCTCCGTCTGTGACTACCTTTAGCAATCTTAGGTTGACAGAACGCAGGTCTCAATTGCAAAGCCAAGCCGGGCGTCAGCCAGCGTCGAACGACGAAAACGACGTTGTCGCAGAGATTGTTGAGAAAGAATTGGACACTGATGTGGTCAGTGATGAGTGGCAGTGGACCAAAACTAACCAGGAGCTGGTAATTTGTCTCGAATCGTTTCTAGGGTTACTTTGAAGTGGACTTTGTGCACCGCCATCAGCAAGTTGGTCACAGATGGTAAGTGTAACGCAATGTTCAGCATCTAATTGATGCATTTGATCGCAGATAGCATACACACTTCTACTTGTAGCTGTGCCAATAGGGACAATCCTGCCCCTCTCTCATCTTCAGTGGTCGGGAGCATTTTACTTTCTTTTCCTTGCGGTGTGGACTGTGTATGTCGGCAGTCATCGCAGGTACCTTTTCTGTAACTTGTGATTTTCATTGATCCAACCACCCCTGTAATTCTCTTTCGTTATCAATCTGTCGTTGCCTAAGAAAGAGAACTGAATGAATGCTCAAGTATCCTGTGCTTTATAGATCCTGGAATTACAAGGAAGCGCTGCTAAATATGCAGTGTACTATTTGTTGGTGATTGCAGTCTAGGGAAAAAGCCACCACAGAATGTCAGTTTCAAGCAAGGACTTGCAGCTCCTCTGTTTTGTTCAGTATCTCTCTTCGGATTCTACTCTTTGCTGCGCTTCTTTCCTAACCTCGACATCCGCTCGTTCATCTCTGCTTATTTGGGTGTAGCTGGGATTGCAGCTGTTGCAAGTAATCTCGCACCACCACTACGTGCCATTTTACCAAATCCTAACAACACATCGTGGCATATTGGTATGTGTTCTATGCTCTGGACTTTCAAGAGCTTAATCAATGTATCTAGGGCGTCATCCTTCTGCATTGTCTCTGCAATGTTGAGGTTGTAGACACTTCTGACAATGGCGATTCTTTCAGCTTCTACGTGGCTCTTCCAGAACTGACGCCTCTTCTGATGTGCTTGCACTGCAATGATAGATTTTCCAAAGTGGTTAGTTGTGGACGAGGGTGAAGCTGTTCATGTGACTCTTACTCCAGCTGATCTGGTGGCAACTGTTGGTAAGTTCCCGTAATTACTGGGTAGGGCATGGCCAAGGGAATCTTTCCTACAAGTGATTAATCACTTAGTCGAATTTGGTGTCGGCTTCACTCGATCTTGGTCTACTTTTTCTTTAAGGGTTTTATTGATCCTCTTATGAACAACAGTGACGTCGATCTTCCGTCATCAAAAAAACAGTTGAAATGCTGACAAGTTATAGTTTGTATGTAGACCCTGAAGTTGACAAGTTGTGTGACTGATGATGATGGAACGAACAGTGGGGATTGGGGCGGCTATAGCAAGCAAACAGTCTGGGGCTCCGTTTACTTTGAACAACTTCATAGCTGTTTGCATTGTAACTGAACTTCTACAGTTGCTTTCTCTTGGCAGGTAATATATTCTTTGCTGTTTGAAATCAGTGACTTATGAGGTTGTACCTGGCTTTGCGCTTATCCCATTGATTAAAAAAATATATTTTGTAAAATGCTGACCGTAGCTTATATTTCCCTTTATGCTGACATCATATATGTAAACTTTTATTAGATATCTTGTGCCTATTTCTCATCGAACCCTTCTTTTGATCAGCTTTCTCCTTGCCTGATGTCATGTAAAGATGTTATTTGCTGAAGAAAACTGTGTTCTGTTTCTTGTGCAGTTTTGTAACAGCGGCAACCATGCTCTCTGGTCTACTTCTGTATGATGTTTTCTGGGTCTTTGGCTCCTCGAATGTGTTCGGAGATAACGTCATGGTGACTGTAAGTGACTTTTGTTTTTTTACTTCGTGAATCTGACATTTTTCCTATACCCTTCACCACCATATTGTAAAATTTCCTTATTCCGCCCAAGTTTATTTGTTCATTCGAAGTTCTACCAAATTTCAGCAAACACTGATCTTTCTACTTTGGTGCATGCCACTGCAGGTAGCAACATCTCCAGCCTTTGACGGGCCAATGAAGCTGATATTCCCCAACGCCACAGTAAGATGCAGCAGTTTTTGACTGTGTCGTGCATAATTCTTGGCTTTATTTTTGTTTTGTTTTGTTTTTGTTTTGTTTTGTTTTGTTTTTTTTTTTTACGTTTAGCGGTTGTGAGGTCCGGGTTATATCTCCGACCAAAAGTTTCAACTCCTCAAGAAAGACACTTGAGAAACTGAACTCAGACACGGAGAGCTCTAATGTACGTTGTACGCACATGTTGGAAACTGAGTTCTGTTGTGTTGGATGGGTCCTGAACAGGCAAATACTGGAAATCCTTATTCTATCTTGGGACTGGGCGACATTGCTGCACCTGGACTTCTAATTGCTTTGATGTTGCGGTTCGATCGCTCTCGATCTAAGAGGCTCCCTGGAGCAGTTGCTGAAGCCAACACCCAGCAAGAACCGGCTGACAAAACTTATTTCATAACATGCATTGCATCGTACATTTTTGGGCTGACTGCTACAGTTGGTGAGTAACCATATTCAATGTTACATTACCATATCCACGGTTTCTTTCATGCGCCACCGCAAAATTTCGTAGGACTTGAGGAAAAATATTCTGGCAACCATCACAAGAACTTTTCAAGTTACCCTCTGATATTGTGCTGCACACTAACAAGCTCATTTTGTCCAATTTTCGCAGAATGTTTTCCTTGTAACAGGGCTAAATTATATGCCTTCACTCTCTCATTCGTTGCAGTTGGGTGTTGATATCTGTTTTTGGTTTCAAATTAATTAATTAATTTTCCCGGATTTCGCAGTGGCAAACACGGTGTCTGGTGCTGCACAACCAGCTCTGCTCTACCTGGTTCCGTCTCTTCTCTTTGGTGTGTTCATAGTGGCAGCCTCAAGGTCAGAATCTTCCCTTTTGCTCGACTACAAGGAAGAGTTTCTACCAGTTGCTGTCAAAGGCGACGGCACATTAGAGTGAAGAATTTATGCCAGTTATTCAACCAGCAAACTCGACCTCCTTTCCTTGAGATAGGGCAAGTACCCCGCAACGCCTGCTTAGTGCTCAATGATTTTCAAAGTGTGTTTATTGAATGCCCTTTCTTTCGAGTGCCACAGCATTCGCTTTATTGGCAATGAGGGTGCCGAGATATATTCATCCTCTTTGGTGATTTGACCGAGGTGGGTTGAATATTTTTGCATTGTGAGTTAAAACATCGTGATTGCAACGTTACGTGAAGAACGACGTTCTCACCTCAGAGCCTCTGTTTCTGCAATGTCGTAAAAGTGAATTCAGTTCAAAAACAATGCTTACAGTCCATTTGTAATCTATGTAGAAGTTTAATAACGTCAGTTTTTCCTTGAAATGTGTAAGAATCTAAATATCCTTGAAGAATCTATCAGAGGTGATGTTTTTGTCTTTTATTGTCAACACCATTCTTCGAAAGATTGTCACAACTTATCTCCTTTGGGCGTGGATTTTCGTGAAGATCTGTAGAGCAGGTGTAGGATAGATGCCAAATTCTTGCAAAGAAAGTGAGGTACTAAACTTGATGAAGGAAGTCCCCACTTTCGTTGATGTTGAGGAATAAAAAAACTACAGAAGCTGTTGTATCAGACAAATCTGAGCTTTTTAGAAAATGAACATTTACGTAAATACATACATAAATAAATAAATAAATAAATAAATAAATAATAGTGCTTATGGTACCTAATAACCTTCAATCGATAAATGCTGTTTTTAACATCTTTGCTGCATCTAAACAATATATATAAACTAAATCAATGCATGTTACTAAACTTTATACTACTCATGTATGATTCACAATATTTTGACCTCAGATAGACTTCATGATTGCATTATTATTATTTATGGATGGATGTAGAAGAGTGCTTGATTATGTAAGATTTTATTTGGTTGAATCTCATGCATCAGAATGTGTAAAAGAACACACATCTTTATTTCACTAGAAAGTTCTTACAAGAATAATCATTGTATACAAAGTCCAACAGATTGCAACACAACAACCTTTCTAACAAGCTTTACACAGATTCCAATAACTTGAGTTTTTATCTATTATCTTCCTTCAAAACTTTATGAAACCAAAATGCCAAAGCTTTGGGAGACCTAACTTGGTCATTGTCAAAGTCTACATAATAGAGTCCAAAATACTTGGTGTATCTAGTAGTCCACTCGAAGTTGTCAAGAAGCGACCAAGCAAAGTACAACCGGATGTCACAACCATCTATAAAACATGGCATCAATAAGAAAAAAAACTAAAATAATCAAAATTGAGTATCAATATTTCCAACTTCCACTAATTTAATCAATCAATAAATGAATCATACAATACATTATTTGTGTAAAAATCCACTTAATAGCTAATAAAACGTTTTAGAGATAATCATGGTAGTAGTTGATGCGAGTAATATTGTTCAATTGTTGAGCAACAGATAATGTCTTTGTTGTATTGAACTTACCTACACCTGTCAATACACATATGAGATCATGAAACATCTCACATAAATTATACAAAGAAATAAAAGTAGCAGCTTTAGGAATGAAATGAAACATATAATGGAATATGAGAATTCAATGCAGTAACAATATGATAGGTTGTATATGATGTAGATGAAAAGATTGTTGTAACGAGGGCTGATCTAATTTAAGAGGTGGAAAATGCCTAATGGATAAATCTACAACCATGGTGATGCAACATATACATGTAAAGATATGTTTATTCTTTTGTAAATATTAGAATCTTATAATTCAATAATAAATTTTATTAAATTATAAATAAAAATAATATAATATTGGCATCTAAAAAAATAAAATTCTATACATATACAAAAAAATAATGAAGACAATAAGTATTTAATTACTTCTAGAGAAATGATTATTCTATTGAGATAAGCTATTAAAAGAAGGAAAATAAATAAAATGAACAATAAAAGTTAGTAATACTTGTATGTGGAGCAATTATTAAGTAATAATACATATTATTTTTAATAAATAAATAAAAAATCTATATAAATATAAATAAGAAAGAATAGAAGATAATACACATGTAAAATCTCCATTGCTATCATTATCAATTGCTTGATTAGTATAATAAGCATATTGGATTGAATAGTAATTAAATCCAATTTAAGCATGACCTTTTGATCAAAGTTTTTTACTTTTTTGTGAAATTGGATAATTGAGCTCCTAAATATTTATGCATTGAAGGTGGATAGTTTCCAAATATAGTAAGTTCCATAAACCTATCAAAATTCAATAATAATATTACTTATTTATATATAAGAATATTTAATTTAGAATAAAATAAAAATATTTTAAAATATAATTATTTAGTAATATAATATAATAATTTTATTACTATCTAAAGTTCTATAGAAGTGTTTCTTTTTATACAATTTCCATATCGTTGTAAACAACGACTCAAAGCAAAAATACCACTTAAATAGCCTAATTGTACAAAGCTATAGATTTTGGTAGATATAAGTCATCTCTTCACTTTGCCTCCAAATTCTTTAAAGAAAAATCAAACAAATTTACCATTCATATTCCTATATGAGACAAATCAATTAATTATCATATAATATCAAAAGTTAAAAACATATATCAATTATAAATTATTAGATATGGTTCAATTTTTGAAAAAATAAGGTTCAAAAAATTTATTAATGATAAATATATTATAACAATAAAAATAGCTCTAAATTTTTAGAAGTCGAATATATTTAAACTTTGAAAAATTAAAAAAATAAATATTATTATTTTTGTATTATTAAATTATCAAAATTTTAAATCAAAGAAAAAAATTCAAAGAAAAAAATAACAAAAGAGATAAAAATTTTACTTTCTTTTAATAAAGCATCAATTTTTTTAATAAAATGCAACTCCTTTATTTATAATTCTAACACCATATATATTTTAAAATAATAAATTGATAATTTATTTATTAATAAAAAAAATTAAAAACTTAAAATAATTTTAAAAAATATTAATATAATAAATTTATACTTATATTATATTATATTATATTATATTATAATTTTTAATTATATAAAAAAGAGATTAGACTTGAAAATATTCATGGCCAAGAAATTAAAAGATAATATGCATCAAATCTAATATCTTTCATAAAATATATATCTTTTTAAAATGAAATGTATATTTGATATGTTAGTAGTATGGTAAAAATTAAAATATAATAAATGATAACTTTTGAAGTAATCTTATTATATATATATATATATATATATGTTTAATAACTTCTAAATTTTATTGTAATTTTGAAATATCAGATAATAATAATAGTATCAAGGACATGAATTTCAAAGAACTAAAAAATCAATAAATTCTTGTGTCACTCAAATAGACTAGAAAGTCATTCAAAGATGGTATAACATTAAATTAGAATGGCTATTGCAAAAGAAAAAAAAAAACTTCAAGGCTTGAAATAAAACTAAAAATTAGAAAGGTGTTGATAAGAATGAAAAAAGCTTCACTCTTGCTTCTATATATACTATTTAATTAAGAGCTATATGGTGATATTCTATAAGACCTCCAATACATGTTCAATCTTTAAGACACATGTTTTAACTTGTAAGGCAAGTTTTGTATATGCATGCCACATCGTTAGCTTATACCACAAGTTATCTACATGTGCGACACATGGCTAAGTAATAGCTAAGTTTTAAAACTACCAATAAATTATAAACATGTATAAAATCAAATATGCATCTATGAAGCTTTGCCACAAGATAATCTTAAATCTACCTACATTTATTTTCTACCTAATACTTCTTATCTAAGTAAATATATATGTCTGTGACATTACTTTTTTATTTAGAGATAATGTCATAGAGAGAAATTACCTTGAGAAAACATAGGACCTTTGGCTACTACTAATTGTCCTGTTATTTTTAAAAAACTTTCAAAATTTACACAATACTTAATAAAATCCAAATTTTTTATTAATTCCTTGACTTTTCATATTATCAACAAATATTTTTATTAAATATTTATAAAATAAACACAAGAGAGTATAAAAACATCTTTCAGTGTCTTTATATGTCTCTCCAAAGAAGGTTGCTATTCTTTCAATATCCTAAATCTTATTCTATTCTTAAATCCTAAATCCTAAATCTTAAATTTTATTTTATTTAAATTTTGTTTGTTTAAAAGAATATAAAAATTTAATTGTAGATTTCAAAAGATTAATATCATCACATTTTAGTCACCATCAACTTATGGCTCTTTTATTTTTTAGGAGAAGCTATATACTAATCTATTAAGAAGATGAATATATAAAAGGTGTAGGCATCATACATCATGCTATTATTAAAGAAGATTCTTTGCTCATGCCTATAAGTGACAAGTGTCCTTATCATCCAACATAATCTCTTTAATGGAAGCATTGTAGGGCCAATTCTCTAGATATCATCAATAAATAAATTGAAGATTTTTTAAAAGAATATTTTTTCTCCATTCCCTATATGCTACCATGGAGTTAGAATTTAGAACCTCTTAGGTGCTATCCAAGCACCTTATCATCCATTTTTCTTTACAAACCCTAAGCTACTACTTGATGTCCAAAGATTCAATTCTTCTAAATATATTATCATTAATTTATTCTAATATATAATTTAATTAATTAATTATTTCTAATACATAATTATTTTTTAAATATTTTATTTAAAAAATAAAAAATAAAAAATAATATAATTCATAGTTCTTATTTAATTTTTATATATTGTATGCAAATGCAATACAAAACAAGTTTTATGAGAATGAATTATCGTATGTTGAAGAAGTCTATAATACGGAAAATTATATTTGCTATATACTTTAATCTTTGTTTTATTTTTAAGGTGATTGATAGGTCCTCTCAATGATTGATAGTGTTTCATATTATGGCAAGGACACCACCCTACTATTTGATCATTGTTGAAGCATTTGTAACTTTTTTTAAATAAAACATTTGAAATATCTTTAAGAATCGTTTCAACCTCCAATAAAATCACTAAATATTGGGAGTCTCTTCTAGGGTCATGATATCACATTCATTATAACTTTTTATCTACTCAAAGAAAAATATGTCATTTTTAAGAATCTTCATCTTTATTACATCATCTTAAAAGTTGTAATAATTATAATAACTCATTCAATAACTCAACAAATGATAGTTCTTAAGTTGAATTTACTGATTGTTGATTTTCTATCTTCTTGATGCCACAAATACATAAAAACTATAAATAAGCATAAAAGATAAAATACTATCTTTCAATACATAAAAACTATAAATAAGGATAAAAGATAAAATACTATCTTTCAATACATAAAAACTATAAATAAGGAT